TTTTTTTTTTTTTTTAAACACCTTGAATTTCACGGGGGGCGCGGGGCTCCGTTGGCGAGGCGCAGCGCCCCTCCAAGACAATGGTAGGGGAAACACTGTAGGTACTATATAGCTATAGCAGCAGCAAGTTCGGCAGCATTATAACACATTTAATAGCTTGCATTTATAATGTACAGCAAACCAAAACACAAGAGCGGCGCTCAAAAGAGAAAGGACAAGAGAGAACAACGAGATGTAAAGGCTAAACTGACAAAATGAGACGGACAAAAATACTGGAAAACATGAATGACCATACCTGTCACTGTTGCGACCGCAGAACGCTCATTCTCAAAGCTCAAATTGATTAAGACGTATTTAAGAAGCAGCATGGGACAAGAACGATTCAGTGGATTGGCAACACTCTCAAAAGAGAACAGAAGTTAAACCTGAGCAGCGTTGTTGACGACTTTGCTGAGCGCAAGGCCCGCAAGATGAACTTCTAATGGTGAGCGTAGCTTTTCTCTTATTATGGAGAGGGATCGGTGATTTAAATCTGTAGCAATGTAATTGTGACCTCTCTTATGTAGGAAAATGCGCATGGTGCGCACCTATGTAACCTGTGTCTGTGATAAAGTTTGGCCGCTGTGCCATGATGAAGAATGATTAATTCTGTGATAGTGTGATTAGTTCGCTGTGCCGTTATTTTTTTAAGCATGATTTTTTTTCGAATAGTCTGATAAATATAAAAGCATTGCCAGTGCTATCAGTTGCAAGTGTGTATTTGTTGTAATAATGACGACTTGATTTGAAGCCTGTGTGTGAGGGGCAGCACTGTGTGTGTGTGTGTGTGTGTGTGTGTGTGTGTGTGTGTGTGTGTGTGTGTGTGTGTGTGTGTGTGTGTGTGTGTGTGTGTGTGTGTGTGTGTGTGTGTGTGTGTGTGTGTGTGTGTGTGTGTGTGTGTGTGTGTGTGTGTGTGTCAGGAGTAATGCCGAAGCGGTGTGCATACAAGATCCGTTTATTCGCCATGCATGTAGGCTAGGCCTAATCAGAATCATGTCAAGTCCAGATTCAATGTTGTTTGCATAAGTAGGCTATATTTTTCGTTTCGTTTATTTAATAAGTTAATTTCAGGACACGTTTGGGAATTTTGTTTGTTTGTTATGAGTTTTGAATATATTTTGAAAGTAGAGAGAGAGAGAGAGAAAAAAGAGCAGTTGTCTGCTTAGTTGCAATACTGTAGCTCAAGTATTTATGCAACTTAGGCCTATACATTGTTTATGTAATTTATGTGCCGGTGTGTCCATGGTTTTGAGTCTGTGTGTGTTGAGCGCAGC